TGTTGCCACAAAACACAGGGAGGAAGTGGTGGGCAGGCTTTGATGTTAGTGAGTTTAAGCTAGTGGCTTTTTGTATAAAGTTCTCCCCAAAGAGCAGATCTGCGATGTTTACAGTCACAGGAGAATGTCAACTCAGGCTGGAGCATATGTTCACAAGCACTGTCCCCGCATTGTCAGTCCTGGTTTAACCTTTGTTTATTCCTTGTTTAACCCTGGTTTAACTCGTGTTTTGGCTGTTTTCGTGTGTCTTCATCTTGCTCCGACCGGCTTTTATTGTGATCACTTTTCCACTCTCTCAATGGTTGCTGTACATGCGTCTGGCAGAAAAAGTTCAACAATGTTCAACTCCTACGTTTGCCGAATGCGTACCCACCACCTCTGCTGCGCCCCAACAACACGTCTACCGCGCCGGGCAAACCTGGGTGCCGCAACGCCCAAGTGAATATTTGCCCGTGCGTTACCGTTGACACAGCATTGAAACTCTACGCAGCTGGAAATCTTCCAGCTCCGGTCCTGACCAAGCGGAGTACCAACATTTGGAGAAGGGTTCTCGGGCGCTGTTACAACGGCAACCGCTGCTCCTGACGGAAGCCTTAGCGGCATCAGGATGGGTCAAATGCAGAGGATGATCCCCCCTACGGGGACAATAAAGTGCACATTTAAATGTATGGTCCGGTCTAAACTCCCCTTAATATATCTGAGTAAAAATGGGGTAGGTATTTTTCATTAGCAATAAATCTGGTTTGTTCCAACAAAAATATTCTAGTACAAGTAAAATGTTGTGAACAAATGAGACCACAGCCAGCTGTCCATCTCACTTTTCTAAAGATGTGACAGAGACCAGAATACACTGCAAAAATATGAGGTAATAAATGCTTGAGATGAGTGGTTTTTAGTCTAATTTGAGTACATTCTGACTGTCTTAATATTGCCAATGGGACAAGCCATTTAGTCTTATTTCTGTTGCTTTATTTTCTTATTCCAAGGGAGACATTTCTTATATATTTCTAAACCAAGATAATATGGCTTGTCCCATTGGCACAGCTTGTTTTAAGAAATTAAGATACATTTTGTACATGTATGGGAAAACCAAAGATGAGACCAAACTTTTAAGTGCAGGGAACTAGTTAAATGTTTTTGCTCTGCTTAAAGCTGGTTAAACCCCAGCTTTAAGCAAGAAAAAGTTAATAATCCTTCACATGTCTTCTGCAAAGTTCTGGGACTCGAGCTGTATATTTCCTAAGATATGAGGAAGTGCTGTGTAGGTACATAGCATTACCGTTCTAATTACCATATGCCTCTATACCACTTCATACATTCTCAATACCCAAAGCTATCTCAAATAAGCGGAGAAAACCTGTAGGCGCTTTGATCAGTAAGCAGAAGTGAAACTCCCATATAGGTGTAAAAATGTCATCACGAGCTCTTTACCCTCAAAGAGGGCTCTTCAGAGATCAGGAACTCGCAGATCTTCAGTAGCTGTGCAAAGCTCGTCTGAAAAGTTAAAGTTTACTCATTATGAGGCATGCTTAGCCACTGTTTGAATCAGCTCTTGCTATTGTTCCCTGCGGTGGTGCTTCTTTGAAATGGCAGAACCGAGTTAAATATGTTCATATTTATAGCCTTGTACATGCTTCTCCGTTGGATGTGTCAGACGCATAGTGTTTTGGACATATGTGTGGGTTATTAGGGTACTCGTTAGTTGAAGGAAGTAATTGTACACACTGTAAAATGACCTGAGATGGTCCTGCTTCCTGTTTGAGTTAGGGGAAAAGATACATTTCTTGTGTGCAAATCCACCCTTGTCTAGGTGATCATCAAATACTTCCATCAAAGGCAAGTTTAGGTATTTAATAAGTAAGTAATCTTTTATCTATATAGCCCACAGACCAGGGGTAGACAAAAAACTTTTTCCATTCAGTTGCATGGGGAGCACTTGGGGGAATCCTGAGTTGACACAGGGAGAACATGCAAAGTCTTATAATCGAGCCAAGGACTTTCCTGCTGTGGAGCATGAGTGGCTCAAATGACACAGCACGATTGGTCAAATACAGAGATTTTTCTATACGGGAACTATAAAGCATAAATTACCCTTAAATTATACAGAAAATAACGAGGATTTTAGTTACCCATTTTATCATCTTGGTTTTATTGCAACTGCCTTGCGCCTTCGCAGAGCTGGTCGTAACAACAATATACAAACATAAGCTGTTGATACACACACTTATATGAGCCCAGACCATTCGATGATTTCATTTTAATTGCAGCTCTTGTTCCCTGTATTAACTGTACCAGCGGTTGGATGGAGGAAAAGGGAAACAATATGAATAAGACTTTGATCTGGAGCAAACAGTCGGACTGCAGACTCACCTGCAGAGATGCACTTGGGCCTCTTCCAATCACAATCTGCTGCCATTCCTTTATGGTTGAATCTGAATCAAACAAAAAAAGGTGCAACTTTCTGGTCCCAAAGAGCCACCGTCAGTGCACATGTCCCACGCTTGCGAGGCGCCTGTGTCTTGATCAGTGAAGGCCGATGAGTGACTGTGACGAGGAGGCGGGCTGACATGTTTGCAGACTGATGTACTGATTGCGGACGCTGAGACATATCGTGAAACTCCGCGTCGACTTTCCATGAATGGCACGAATAACTTTAAAATGCTCAGCATTAAATAAAGAATTGAATAGTTGTGGTAAAACATATGAATTACTCTTTTTAGATTATGAGATTATGTCGCCTTCAAAATATTGATTTTTTTAAATAAACAAAATCCATTCACAAACTACAAGCAAATCACAATTATACACCTGTGACCAAAAAATTAAAAAACAAATCCACAAATGTAATTTTTTTGCCAATAT